AATTCAAGGGACCACTTTCAAATGGTCAGAAACTCCCTGCCAAAACAACCCAGATTCTAAAGAAGCTGACGCCCTTTGACACTATTGTAAGCTTATATCCTTAATATACCTTGTAAAGGAGAATTTACAAGCTTTTTTCGTCTTGAATGTGTAAATTCTGTTGTGTTCCGTCCATCTTTTTGCACCTGAGGAGCACTGCTACTGATTATTTCCCCCTTTTCAATATCCTTTAACACAGACTGTTCAAACAGAAAAGCAATCTAATAAACCACCACCGATAACAGTGACATCCAGAACAAATATATACAGTGACAGCAATTACCAGTTCCTCAGAATTTGGAGCACAAAAACCTAGAGGCTTCAATGGTTCATCCTGTGTAATAGAAGGTATCTGCACAAATTCCACTAGTTTTCTATGTGTATGCATATCAGCAACTCTGTACACATCAAGCAAATTTGTCCTATTATATCTAAAGCAGTGAGCTTCTCTATGTTCACTTTCAACTTTATCCAATACAGTTTCAGGGTATTGAGAATGCATATATGTGCTGTTAATTGAATTACCACCAGAGCCAAACCGGGCCCGCCCAAACGCATCAACTGGAGGTGTATCCTCCCCACAGCCCCACCCATATGACAATGCAGACACTTGATTGTTTGGAATCCCATTTTGGTGGTCATGGCTTTGTGAGGCGTTGGGTCTCCATGGCCGATAAGGATCCCCTTCCTTTTCATCCTTAACAAGATAAGAAATGTTAGACAAACTTTTGCCAAGATGAAGATCACCATCTTTACCAGGGTCACTCCATTTTTCACGAAGACCTTCAGACTCCTTATCATCAGGTCCCCAGCGTGTGTTCCACTTACTCATGCGCCGCTGTTCAAAGTTTGTATCTTTATTGCCCGACTCATTCCATCTATCAGATGTGCCACGATGTGCTTCGCCAAAGTGCCTTGTTGATGGATTTTCAGTCCACCTATCCATTCTCCTAGTGTCAATTACATCTTTGTTTCCATTCCTCCACCGATCCTTGTGTAAAGAGGAAGAAGACTTAGTATCTCTCTCTTCATCACGCCAATGGTCACTGTGTCCACTTTCAGAGTCAAGCATGGATGGCCGGAAGACATCCTTTTGCTTAAGGCCATCATTCACGTCCTCTCCATTTCCAAATGTCTTAGCCATCTCTGAGCGTTTGGCATTTGGTGGAGTTGAAAACACATGGTTTTCCTGAGTAATGTGTAACAGTGAAGAGAAGCGGACTTCAAAACAATTATAAACTACTTATGGATTGAAATGTTCACGGAAATCTGACTTGCAAATATACAGTTTACAGAAGTGCAAACAGACAAAAAAAAAACAGCAGTAATCATTACACACCACAGTTTCTATTGCAGGTTTACTCTCCCCAGGCTTTGGCAGAAGCCATTGCGGTGAAAGTGGAATGGGATTGTCAGGGCCATGGAAATCTGCAAAAGGAAGATGTTTACTAGAAAAGAATTGAAAACTTTAACACTTTCAGCAATTGGCTAATCAATTACATGTTTTTTATCATGTTCTTTTCAGTAGATAATTAAATAGATAGAAAGCACACACAGACAGACCAAGAAAAAAGAAGACAAGCAAGAGAAGTTTGACAAAAATTAATATACATGCATTGATAATTTAGCGCAAGAAGAAACTGATAGAATAAATATTGTATGAAAATATTGAATATATGAAAAGAAATCGGTCCTTTCTAAGTTTGTCATCTACAATTCTGATTGAAAGGATAAATTCATCACATATTTGATTATGCTGACTACACTAATAGTTGTTGCTTGTCGAAAATGTCAGTAAAAAATAAATTGAAAACGAAGAATGGGGAGGGGGCAGTGGGACAAAGATAAACAAATTTACAAACAAAAAAATGAAATTAAAATCGGTGTCAGAATTTATACATAGATGGTATTCACGGTACTTATTATCAACTCCCATGGAGTGGACAAACTCTATACCTCAGTATATCAAATCTAATAAAATCACCAGACAGCGCCATAATAATCCAGGAAGGCTTGGTCCAAGTTCAAGCATAAGCTACAATTAGCAGCTTCATTGACTACCCAGAAAAAATATGGTGACACTTGCGTTAACAAGATGTCAAACAAACATACAAATCGTAATATTATCTATCGTGGTAAAAATTACTTACAGATAAAGTAAAAAATATATATTATTTTCGAATTTAAAAAGTCATCAAACCAAAGTTTCCCTGGATGAAAAAGAAAATATTTCTAAATGCACGATGTCATTCGAAAATTTAAACTTCCAATCCTCAAGTTCACAGAAAAATCTGAACAACGAAACAAGAAAAACCACAGACGATAATTAGGTCCGTTTCTTTCACTGTCTTGAAACTTTAAACAAGAGAATGACAGAAGGAACAAGAAAATAAGAAAAATGCAGAGCAATTCATCAATGTCATCTCCGAACTAAAAATGAATAAGTAAAAATTTGATCAAACGAGCTACGAAGAGGAAACCACTCGACCCTCGAAGCGAAACCCTAAAACTAAAACAGAGAAACAAAAATGGTAGGCGTAATCTAATCACGATAGTGAAAGTGTGGGAACGTCTCTAGGGTTTAACAGAATCGGAAATAGGTGAAAGAAAGGACCTTTGGAGATCTGAAAAGGAGGTCCAGCAGAGATATGGTGGCGGCGAGTGGCAGAGATACGGTCAGCCATGGATGATCAGCTAGGAAAAGAGTCTCTGACTATTGCAATTGAACCAACGGTGAAGGTGAGTCAGGGAACCGGAACCAGGGGCGAAAGAGAAGATTATAGGTTAAGCCACAAAGATGATAAATGCTAGGGTGCACGTTAGGATGCTATCACCCATGGATCACGTTAGCAAAGATATCCTTGGCCGGATTCAGTTGATGATAGGAAACAAATCTCTACGCACATGAAGAAGCGCGTGATAATCACGGAGAAATCCTTGCAGCAAGTGTAATTCACGCTGACATCTGAACACAAAATATGTGTGTTTTCGTTGTATAGTTTCCACTTCACTTGTCGCCTAAGTGACCGAAATGTCCTTGACTACAGTCTATTCCTTGGTTTCTGTTGTTTTTCTCATATTCATAATAATTTATATGGTTTTTAAACAAGTTATTTATAGCATATATTTCCTGATTTCTGCCTAATCCTTTTATTATTTAGTTCAAATTGAAATATAACACCTTAAATTTTGTGAGTAGATCCACTTGCATTATTATAGAAATCGTGAGACAGTTTAATTTATGGCTTCAACTTATAACTTATACTTATTTTATTGACAATTTCAGTGACAATTTACAATACATTGATGATAACTGATAAAATATTTGAGATTTTGTATATTGTCGTTAAATAACGTATATTTAAATGAATAAAGAAAATGTTAATTTATATATAATTCAATAATTTAAATTGCATAAAAGTATTTAATAACAATACATTTGAAAATAAAGAGGACTATTCACACGAGAAAAAACATAAGTCAATCCAAAGTTATGTTTTCAAAAAGGAAAATAAGAATACAATCCACTAAAATGAGAAGAAGGGCTGAATATTGAGAACCCTATTTATAAAATTAAAATACTACCCAAAATTATCTGAATACTAAAATTAAAAACTCCTTAAAAAAATTTAAGAACTTGTATATAAATATTCTTTGACTCAGCTTCTGCAGTTAAGTAGAAAAATATTCTAAAAAAAATGACCGAACATACTCATACTCAAATTTGAATGATAATTTACAAATATTTTAGGTACTTAACTTTATACACTAATACGAGTTTTTAAGAAAAATATATTTTGACACATACGTTTTTTATAATATTTTAATATAATATACATATTATTTATTCTTTTTTCTTTTTTTTCTATTTTTATAATATTTTAATATAATACACATATCTTATATACTAAAAAACAATATAAGTATACATTTTTTTTCTCTTTTCTCCTCTCTCCTCTTTCTCTTTGTAATTTTTTGCACAATTTAGAGAGACAATTATATTTTCCACTTTAGGTGTCGCCTAAGTGACAGAAATGTCCTTCACTAAACATATGAATTGCTTGTACAAAAACTACATATGAGATCTTATGTTTATAATTTTATTGGGGTTTTTTAATACTATTAATTGTTTATTTCTGGTTTCCTAAGTTATGTAAGAGACGCATTTTCTTTAGTATATAAGATGAAAAAACAATTTAAGTTTATTAAAACAAGTGGATGGCATATTTGAAATGATAATGAAAAGTAATTTTGAAATTGATGAAACATACATTGATTTTCACTTGTGATTTTGTCTTTTTTTCTTATTCATTTCCTTTAACATAACATCTTTAATTAATTTATACTTCCTTATTTGTATAATAATATTCAGACATTTCTATTTTCATCAATCCAAATTCTCTTTTCTTTATCAAATGGAATTAAGTTCGAATTAAAAGTTAGCAGTATTCTTTCTTTATATTAGTGTTCCTTTCACGTAGATATTTTATTTTATCATGTGAAATGTCTATTAAAAGTTAAACACTTTTGATCATGAATCTTTTCATTTAAGATTTTGTAACCTTGAGATATGCTTTACATTTGTTATAATATGTTGATATTTTCAAGATAGGGGCATCAGGTCTTAGAATTATAGCTAGCCTTTTAGAAGTTAAAAAGGTCAAAATCATGATCAATATGTAGACTTACCGACCAACAGTTAAGACACCGCTCTGTGTATATAGTATTAGAATAGAATGATGATAAAACATGCTCATCTTGACTTTTGAGCTCAAAATACCTGAGGCTGTGTGTACAGCAAGTCAAAAACACTCCAAAAGAAAAATTAGAACCCAAAACATTTTTCACTTTTCAGTATAATACAACTCCAGCAGAAAAGATCTTGTATCGTCTAAACAAGTTAAGAAAAAAAAAACAGCTGAGGATATCACAACATGTCAGTTGGCAAGCTCCAAACAAAATTTAGAATCCAAAATGCTTTTCACTTTCCAGCAGAAGATAACTCGACAGCAAGGGAATAGGATAACCACGTATCGTGCTAAACTAGTTAAAATCGATACGGATATAAAAACATGTTCGTAGGCGTGCTGTATATATAACATTCACCAGATTATTTTCTTATTATTCATTATGAACACAACTATTGGCAAAAAGGCTATTCGATCTTCGGTAAAGAAGTTGGCAGATCCGCTGGGATATCTGAACTTGCCTGCCATGAAAAAATAAAGTTTTGCCATCAATTGTACTATCAATCTATATATATTAAACTAGTAATAAGTGATTTTAGTAATCTGCTGCCGTTAAGCATAAAGATGGTGATATCATTCTCTTTAATGGTTTGTATTATCACCAGCCAAAGAAAAATCATACAACAGATATTTTAAATGTAGAAAGAAATACATGATAGTGGGGTTAGTTGCAGTCAATCATATGTATGACTGAAATACTAAGTATGCAGCTACAGCTTTTTCAGGAATAAAAATTTAAAATATGGGGTTTTCAATTCTACTAATCAAGTGTCTTCACAAGTTTCAGTTTCCCGTGATGTAAACATTAAACACATTCTATTAAATGCTTTAAAGTACTATATGACCTTATGTGTTCTCGATAATACTTTATTTTCTAAGAAAAAGAATTTTCATTTGAACTTCTTATCCAGAGGGTCTAGATTAGTCAGTCCAACCAATTGTACTAGCGTGATGTGGGCTTAAGGCTCCATAGTCCGGGGCTAGAAATATGCCTTCCATTCAGGCCATAAAATAGAAGTCAAAGCCTAGCCTAGCCTCAACCTACATTTTACATTTAAATAGCCCGGACTAGCCTGAACAAATATAAGACTAAATGGGTTGGACAAACATACTTGGAATTGATTCAGACCTATAATTTAGAGCCCTAGTTCAATGTTTTAATGGGCCTAATAGGGCAGGCCCAGGTCCAACTCGTTTTGCCACCTCTTATCAGGTGTTCACAAACACTAGAAAAATACTAAATATTTCATTACAAAAAAAATAAAATTATAGTTCCTTTTTTCTTTCATTTTCAAGTAGAATAAAGGGACAATTAGGATAATGGGATTTCCATACCTGAAGATATCTATTCAACATTGTTGTTGTACTGAAATTAAAACCTTGAACTGGTTCTTGTTTTGTTCGAGATGCATTAAGTTGTTTTCTGACTTGAGTAGCCAGTGACTGCATTATCATTAAATACGATGAGAATGAACCAAGAAATATAAAGTGGGAATAAAACTACAATTGAAATTGCATATATGTATTTATGAGATAAGAGTTGGAAGTCTTTCAGAAATTTCTTATATAGAAACACAATGAAACATTACTTATCTAAACCATACCTTCCCCAGCTCTACTCCCCACTGATCAAAAGAATTGATTCCCCAAATGAAACCCTCTACAGCAATTCTGTGTTCATAGATTGCCAACAACTGAGGAACATAGAGCACCAGGAAATTATGACCAATAAAGTAATTATGACCAATTATGTAGAATATACAACTCGATTATGGAACCAAAGATGCACATATGCCACCTTTATATTCTATCAAGAACTAAAAAAAGAAACTGAAGGATTGGAGAAAACACAACGAACAGAAAGAAAAATGAATGAAATTATTTGCCAAACAGATAGCTTTTGCAGTAGTTATTCTGATACTGGCCTAAACTGTCAACATATTATGAAGGAATAGGCATTAAAGAATAAAAACTAAAATACTCCCTATAAACAACTTTTCCAAAGTGAATGCTTATTTCTCATGTTAAATCTCCAGTGTGAATGCCTAGTTTGGAATATGACAAATAGCTTTTCAAAAGAGAAAAAATAAACTAAATGCATGTCCATATTGCAAAAATATGAATATTCAATATATTATTGTGCATAATTCTCATCAGTCATGTACCTAATTTTCCTCAGGAACATGCTCGATAAAATAAGTAAACAGGAATAAACCATTTTCCTTTAATTACTAATCACAACCTTGCGGACTNTTTTCGAATTTAAAAAGTCATCAAACCAAAGTTTCCCTGGATGAAAAAGAAAATATTTCTAAATGCACGATGTCATTCGAAAATTTAAACTTCCAATCCTCAAGTTCACAGAAAAATCTGAACAACGAAACAAGAAAAACCACAGACGATAATTAGGTCCGTTTCTTTCACTGTCTTGAAACTTTAAACAAGAGAATGACAGAAGGAACAAGAAAATAAGAAAAATGCAGAGCAATTCATCAATGTCATCTCCGAACTAAAAATGAATAAGTAAAAATTTGATCAAACGAGCTACGAAGAGGAAACCACTCGACCCTCGAAGCGAAACCCTAAAACTAAAACAGAGAAACAAAAATGGTAGGCGTAATCTAATCACGATAGTGAAAGTGTGGGAACGTCTCTAGGGTTTAACAGAATCGGAAATAGGTGAAAGAAAGGACCTTTGGAGATCTGAAAAGGAGGTCCAGCAGAGATATGGTGGCGGCGAGTGGCAGAGATACGGTCAGCCATGGATGATCAGCTAGGAAAAGAGTCTCTGACTATTGCAATTGAACCAACGGTGAAGGTGAGTCAGGGAACCGGAACCAGGGGCGAAAGAGAAGATTATAGGTTAAGCCACAAAGATGATAAATGCTAGGGTGCACGTTAGGATGCTATCACCCATGGATCACGTTAGCAAAGATATCCTTGGCCGGATTCAGTTGATGATAGGAAACAAATCTCTACGCACATGAAGAAGCGCGTGATAATCACGGAGAAATCCTTGCAGCAAGTGTAATTCACGCTGACATCTGAACACAAAATATGTGTGTTTTCGTTGTATAGTTTCCACTTCACTTGTCGCCTAAGTGACCGAAATGTCCTTGACTACAGTCTATTCCTTGGTTTCTGTTGTTTTTCTCATATTCATAATAATTTATATGGTTTTTAAACAAGTTATTTATAGCATATATTTCCTGATTTCTGCCTAATCCTTTTATTATTTAGTTCAAATTGAAATATAACACCTTAAATTTTGTGAGTAGATCCACTTGCATTATTATAGAAATCGTGAGACAGTTTAATTTATGGCTTCAACTTATAACTTATACTTATTTTATTGACAATTTCAGTGACAATTTACAATACATTGATGATAACTGATAAAATATTTGAGATTTTGTATATTGTCGTTAAATAACGTATATTTAAATGAATAAAGAAAATGTTAATTTATATATAATTCAATAATTTAAATTGCATAAAAGTATTTAATAACAATACATTTGAAAATAAAGAGGACTATTCACACGAGAAAAAACATAAGTCAATCCAAAGTTATGTTTTCAAAAAGGAAAATAAGAATACAATCCACTAAAATGAGAAGAAGGGCTGAATATTGAGAACCCTATTTATAAAATTAAAATACTACCCAAAATTATCTGAATACTAAAATTAAAAACTCCTTAAAAAAATTTAAGAACTTGTATATAAATATTCTTTGACTCAGCTTCTGCAGTTAAGTAGAAAAATATTCTAAAAAAAATGACCGAACATACTCATACTCAAATTTGAATGATAATTTACAAATATTTTAGGTACTTAACTTTATACACTAATACGAGTTTTTAAGAAAAATATATTTTGACACATACGTTTTTTATAATATTTTAATATAATATACATATTATTTATTCTTTTTTCTTTTTTTTCTATTTTTATAATATTTTAATATAATACACATATCTTATATACTAAAAAACAATATAAGTATACATTTTTTTTCTCTTTTCTCCTCTCTCCTCTTTCTCTTTGTAATTTTTTGCACAATTTAGAGAGACAATTATATTTTCCACTTTAGGTGTCGCCTAAGTGACAGAAATGTCCTTCACTAAACATATGAATTGCTTGTACAAAAACTACATATGAGATCTTATGTTTATAATTTTATTGGGGTTTTTTAATACTATTAATTGTTTATTTCTGGTTTCCTAAGTTATGTAAGAGACGCATTTTCTTTAGTATATAAGATGAAAAAACAATTTAAGTTTATTAAAACAAGTGGATGGCATATTTGAAATGATAATGAAAAGTAATTTTGAAATTGATGAAACATACATTGATTTTCACTTGTGATTTTGTCTTTTTTTCTTATTCATTTCCTTTAACATAACATCTTTAATTAATTTATACTTCCTTATTTGTATAATAATATTCAGACATTTCTATTTTCATCAATCCAAATTCTCTTTTCTTTATCAAATGGAATTAAGTTCGAATTAAAAGTTAGCAGTATTCTTTCTTTATATTAGTGTTCCTTTCACGTAGATATTTTATTTTATCATGTGAAATGTCTATTAAAAGTTAAACACTTTTGATCATGAATCTTTTCATTTAAGATTTTGTAACCTTGAGATATGCTTTACATTTGTTATAATATGTTGATATTTTCAAGATAGGGGCATCAGGTCTTAGAATTATAGCTAGCCTTTTAGAAGTTAAAAAGGTCAAAATCATGATCAATATGTAGACTTACCGACCAACAGTTAAGACACCGCTCTGTGTATATAGTATTAGAATAGAATGATGATAAAACATGCTCATCTTGACTTTTGAGCTCAAAATACCTGAGGCTGTGTGTACAGCAAGTCAAAAACACTCCAAAAGAAAAATTAGAACCCAAAACATTTTTCACTTTTCAGTATAATACAACTCCAGCAGAAAAGATCTTGTATCGTCTAAACAAGTTAAGAAAAAAAAAACAGCTGAGGATATCACAACATGTCAGTTGGCAAGCTCCAAACAAAATTTAGAATCCAAAATGCTTTTCACTTTCCAGCAGAAGATAACTCGACAGCAAGGGAATAGGATAACCACGTATCGTGCTAAACTAGTTAAAATCGATACGGATATAAAAACATGTTCGTAGGCGTGCTGTATATATAACATTCACCAGATTATTTTCTTATTATTCATTATGAACACAACTATTGGCAAAAAGGCTATTCGATCTTCGGTAAAGAAGTTGGCAGATCCGCTGGGATATCTGAACTTGCCTGCCATGAAAAAATAAAGTTTTGCCATCAATTGTACTATCAATCTATATATATTAAACTAGTAATAAGTGATTTTAGTAATCTGCTGCCGTTAAGCATAAAGATGGTGATATCATTCTCTTTAATGGTTTGTATTATCACCAGCCAAAGAAAAATCATACAACAGATATTTTAAATGTAGAAAGAAATACATGATAGTGGGGTTAGTTGCAGTCAATCATATGTATGACTGAAATACTAAGTATGCAGCCACAGCTTTTTCAGGAATAAAAATTTAAAATATGGGGTTTTCAATTCTACTAATCAAGTGTCTTCACAAGTTTCAGTTTCCCGTGATGTAAACATTAAACACATTCTATTAAATGCTTTAAAGTACTAAATGACCTTATGTGTTCTCGATAATACTTTATTTTCTAAGAAAAAGAATTTTCATTTGAACTTCTTATCCAGAGGGTCTAGATTAGTCAGTCCAACCAATTGTACTAGCGTGATGTGGGCTTAAGGCTCCATAGTCCGGGGCTAGAAATATGCCTTCCATTCAGGCCATAAAATAGAAGTCAAAGCCTAGCCTAGCCTCAACCTACATTTTACATTTAAATAGCCCGGACTAGCCTGAACAAATATAAGACTAAATGGGTTGGACAAACATACTTGGAATTGATTCAGACCTATAATTTAGAGCCCTAGTTCAATGTTTTAATGGGCCTAATAGGGCAGGCCCAGGTCCAACTCGTTTTGCCACCTCTTATCAGGTGTTCACAAACACTAGAAAAATACTAAATATTTCATTACAAAAAAAATAAAATTATAGTTCCTTTTTTCTTTCATTTTCAAGTAGAATAAAGGGACAATTAGGATAATGGGATTTCCATACCTGAAGATATCTATTCAACATTGTTGTTGTACTGAAATTAAAACCTTGAACTGGTTCTTGTTTTGTTCGAGATGCATTAAGTTGTTTTCTGACTTGAGTAGCCAGTGACTGCATTATCATTAAATACGATGAGAATGAACCAAGAAATATAAAGTGGGAATAAAACTACAATTGAAATTGCATATATGTATTTATGAGATAAGAGTTGGAAGTCTTTCAGAAATTTCTTATATAGAAACACAATGAAACATTACTTATCTAAACCATACCTTCCCCAGCTCTACTCCCCACTGATCAAAAGAATTGATTCCCCAAATGAAACCCTCTACAGCAATTCTGTGTTCATAGATTGCCAACAACTGAGGAACATAGAGCACCAGGAAATTATGACCAATAAAGTAATTATGACCAATTATGTAGAATATACAACTCGATTATGGAACCAAAGATGCACATATGCCACCTTTATATTCTATCAAGAACTAAAAAAAGAAACTGAAGGATTGGAGAAAACACAACGAACAGAAAGAAAAATGAATGAAATTATTTGCCAAACAGATAGCTTTTGCAGTAGTTATTCTGATACTGGCCTAAACTGTCAACATATTATGAAGGAATAGGCATTAAAGAATAAAAACTAAAATACTCCCTATAAACAACTTTTCCAAAGTGAATGCTTATTTCTCATGTTAAATCTCCAGTGTGAATGCCTAGTTTGGAATATGACAAATAGCTTTTCAAAAGAGAAAAAATAAACTAAATGCATGTCCATATTGCAAAAATATGAATATTCAATATATTATTGTGCATAATTCTCATCAGTCATGTACCTAATTTTCCTCAGGAACATGCTCGATAAAATAAGTAAACAGGAATAAACCATTTTCCTTTAATTACTAATCACAACCTTGCGGACTATGTACCTGCCCAATATTGTAAGCATTCAATGATGGAAGCAGTAGGCTGAGAGAAGGTCGGTTACCGCTGAATGTCTATAGATTGGTTTAGAAAAAAAATGAGCATGTTAATGACTAAGGATTCAACTACTAAAATTGCAAGTTGCATTGAAGAAAGAATATCACCTTGTGAGGAATAAGGTGTGGGGAAACATTCTCCTTTTGCAGCTGGTCTGCTGTCTACAAGATTTTGATTTATGGTCATACTCCTCATGATAAATGAGGAGAGTTGAAAAATCTACTCCACAAAATTATAAAAAAGAAGCTATTTCTACAAGTTCAGTGCTGTCGAAACTTGCATATCAGTTACCTTCGAGTTGAGAGCATTGACACAGATTGTTTTACTTATATCCTTATTTATTTCTATTTGATATATAATTTAGAAGAACAGAGTAAGGACAAATGTACCTTTCCATATGCAAGGGCATCAGGTTGTGCAAAATAGTTGGACATGAGCTCATCATGGTTACTCACTACTTCACCTGGTTATAAATTACATTACCAAAATATTATCAGAGCACTGACTTTACAAAACTAAACTACGATGATTAAACTTGATAATGCTAATTTGTGTTCCTTACCTTTCAGAAAGACAGGTTGCTGACTTTTTACAACTCCAATAAAATCACAAGGAATTACACGCCCCTAAAAGTAAGAAATGCAAATTTCTCAACAAATAGCATATATACTAAATATTCATATTTTTCATACGGTTATAAAAATATGAAATAAAAAGAAGCAAAGTAAAATTGCAATAGAGGCAACAAGAACATAAGATTCTAAACTGCTAAAATCTAAATAACTACTGTTTTAAATAGGCTGGTAAAGAAAAGCAAAAATTCAGGTCAGCCAGGAGAAGTTAAGGAAAGCTGGATATAGGAATGTCTCATTTGCATATGTAGAAGAAATGTGCCCTTGGATTTTCAGTAACCTAGAGAAACGCTAATTGAAGATAACCATTATATCAGAGCACATTCCTGCTCGTATTAATTTGAAAGACAAAGGAAGGATGAAAATACACATGCAATTTCTTCCTGATTTTATTATTCCCATGTCAAAATCTCTAATTTGACCCAAGGATTAGCATTCAAAACAAGTAAAAACTGGAATTGAAATATAAACCACAACATGCAATAATTGTAGACATTATTTCATTAGAATGTGTTTTAAATCAAAATTAACATTCAGGACAGTAGTAATGTAGGCTTTTGACGTGATTAATTTTACCATTATTAAGCCCTTTACACAAGTAATATTTTCAAGTATAAATTTTCACAAAATTTATTAATTCTTCAAAGTTCAAACACCCAATTATATAGTACTTAGTAAATCACCTGATGTATGAGCTGATAAAAGCTATGCTGCCCATTAGTTCCTGGTTCACCAAAATCAATTTCGCCAGCCTCAAATGGTAGAGGAACACCATCAATTGAAACACCCTTGCCATTACTCTCCATGCTAACCTAAAGCAAAAAAACAATAATAAATATTATAAGAATAAAAGTAAAATAGAATTAAAATAATATTCAAGCACAATGCTGCAACAAACTTGCCTGTTGAATGTGGGGGGCCAACTTCTCCAGAGCTTGACTATAAGGTAAGATGGCCTGTAAAAATATCAAAATATCAAAAGTTTAATGTTTTGAATGAGGCCACTTAAGAACAACAAAACCTATTAAATATTTCTGAAGGGAACAGGTCAAATAAGCACTCACTCTGGCAGGATATCCAAGAAATGAAACATTCCATATGCTCAACAAACCCAGAAGCACCTGGAGTACTCCAATAAGATGTAATTGAGCATCTCATCAAGTGGTTGCCAAATGTACAAAAACATCTTAAATACAAGAAAACCTAAGGTCCAAGAAACAAGGGATCTGAAAATTACAATGAACCAAATTCCTACCCACAGTTTAACCTCTTCTTCAAAAAGAAGAAGGAATAATTAAGAAAAAAAATCCAAAGCTGTGGAATTGGTAATGCTCCAAATAGTGAAAGAAACAAAGGGAAAAAAGAGAGGAAATAAAAGCTGAAAGGAGCAGCACGTGATACAGAAAATTTAGTTTTACAATTATAGAATATAACACTAACCATACTGCAGGGATAGCCAGTATGCAGTATCACAATAATTAAAGAATACATGCTTGAACAAGAAGAGATCCACATACAATAAAGCTCAAAAGTATAAAATATCTGAAAAGGGGCACTTACAGGTATATTGCTTTCAAAGGGCTGTGAATAGAAATGTTGATCAATGCTTGAAGCCCCACTTAAGAACCTTTAAGGGAAAAAAGACCATCATAAAGAAAACATTCAAGTATATGTTTCTTAGTTTCTTGCCGAAGGAATATTCAAAACTGAGTTGCCAGTGCCAATAGTATGCAGAACATAATTGAAATCTAAATACATTTAATGGAAATCAAAATATGCTATATCTCATTCTTAAAAGTCATGATTATTGAAAGCATTCTTATCTTCATCATTCTTGTAATCTTTGAAGGTGATTATTTCCTTAAACGAAGAAGGTGAAGCACAACATAGCCATAAGAAGTTATACTATTTCTAGGAACAATCACTTCTAGAAGAGGTGCATACAGATTAGAACTATACTAACAGTGAAAGACATACTTCTCCATTACTGAGAAACCGTATTGTAAAGACAATGGCAAAACTCCAACAGCACTGCAAACTGCAAGCCACATTTCAGAACATCATAATCAAATCTTTTGTAAACTTCAAATATTCTTTAACGGGTTAAGAAGAGGGGGAAATAGATTAAAGACTACTCACCACTGTATCGCCCACCGACCCAATCCCAAAACGCAAAAGCATTGTTAGGGTCAATACCAAACTGTTCCACAAGCTGCACCATAAATGAAAGAAAAATAGTTAAATATACAACCATAATAACAAATAGAAAACGCACTCTTCATGACTTTTTGTCTTTAGTAAAGAAAAAAATGCACAAATTTAAAAGAATTACCAAAGAAATTAGAACTTTGAGAACTTCACCCTTCTGTAATCTTCCTTATTACAGCTTTATTATTCAATTATTATGTTAGTGCCCTTTGTTATAGGTACATCCAACAATGATTCACACAAAAGCATAATGTTTTAACAGCACATATGCTGGCAAATAATGTGATTAGTTAAGGATTTAAGAAAACAAGGCTGCTACATGTATCGAGGCAAACGGTGGTGATCAATCAAATGCAGACATGACTCATGAATGAAAACAAGAGTTAGACATTGAAGAATACTTAATCAGATAGTGCCAAAAGAGGAAAATACAGCAATACCTTGAGATTTGTGCTAACAGCCACCATATGCTTTGCAACAGCAGAGGGCCTGGAAGGAATGAGAGACAGTCTTCAATTCATTATCAAAGTCAATTCTGAATAGTGTCCACTCTCTATCCTTTCAAAAGTTGGTGAACATATTTAGAAGTGGGGGGCATGGGGGTGGGGTTTATCTTCGAATAAGTAAGAAGAAACTATAAGTTCCAAATCTAGTTCTGCACATTTCATAAAAAACGAAGGAAACTACTGAAAGCCCAACCACTGCTTACACTAATATCCTTGAGCAACTTCTCTTAATGCGGCACTTACCCAAGTGCAGATGATATCCATTCTCTAAGAGTTCGAGCATTCAGCATGGTTTCAGCAGTTGTAAAAGTCTTTGAAACAACCACAACTGCAATTGTTATAGAAAGCATTAAAACATACAAGATAAGCCTCCATGTCTATTTAATATATATATATATATATATATATATATATATATATATATATATATATAGGGGTTTGCTAACGGGCGTACGTCTGTTTTTCAGTTGGTACATTTTAGCAATGTGTACCGGGTTTTAGTAGACAAAAATATCCTTATCTATCATGGATTCTAACTTTTAAGGTTAAGGGTATTTTAATAATTTTCATTCTCAAAACTAAAAAAACCCAAACCCTTACTCACCTCCCTCATTCCTCTCAACCCTTTCTCTTTCATCTCTTTCACTTGAACATTTTCTCTGTCATCCTATGGTAGCTCATCAGAAACATTAGCTGTTAAACAATCTTACAAAAAATGATTTTATAATGAGTTTTCATTTTATAATTTTTGTCTTATCTAATTTTATCCAATTTTCACAAGCATAATGACATCCAAAGGAATTGGTAATTGGCCTGGAGGGTTTTTTTAGAGATGATGATTCAACATATGCAGATGATGAAAGTAGAGAGGTTAGTGAAGATGGTGAAATTGAAGAGATCTTGAATGAATCTTTGCCTGAAAGTGAATATGTCAATGACTCAACTCTTTACAAAGGCAAATTGTTTAACGACAAGTTTTTATGATTTTTTCAATTGGGACTACAGGATGACAGAGAAAAGGTGAGAGAGATGAAAGAGAAAGGATTGAGAGGAATGAGAGAGGTGAGTAAGGGTTTGGGAGTTTTTTTTTTTAGTTTTGAGAATAAAAATTAAAGTACCCTTAAGCTTAAAAGTTAGAATCCATAATATATAAGGGTATTTTTATCTACTAAAACCGATACACATTGCTAAAATGTAGCAACTGAAAAACAGGCATATATATATATATATATATATATATATATATATA